GTTTCTTTTAATCTTTGTGGAATTATATACTTTGATCTTTGTAATGATTGTGTCTGCTTTTTGATTCTACCATCTTTATTCTTTTGTTCATAGATTAACTCCTTTTAGCTTCAAGTTTTTGATTTATAGCTTTTCAACTGACTTACTAATTTGGCTAAGTTCCCCACTCCTCCTCTCGTATATTTTCTTTTAGTCCTAATGGAAAAGTCAGCTTTTTTGGTTTGGTTTTGTTTTGAGACAGAGTCTAGTGCCGTTGCCCAGGCTGGAGTGCAGTGGTGTGATCTCAGCTCACTGCAACCATCACCTCCCAGGTCCCAGCAATTCACCTGCCTTAGCCTACCGAGTAGCTGGGATTACAGGCGTCTGCCACCACGCCCAGCTAATTTTTCCATTTTTAGTAGAGACGGGTTTCACCATGTTGGCCAGACTGGTCTGAAACTCCTGACCTCTGATGATCCTTGCCCCCACAAAGTGCTGGAATTATAGGTGTGAGCCATGCCTGGCCAAAAGTCAGTTATTTGATAGCATCTTATCATGTAAGCTACACCAACTTTTTTTCCCAAATAGAATTACTATCTGCCTTCTCACCATGGGGCAGTGAGAGGTGCACAAATGGAGAGCCTAAAGTAGATCAGCATAACCTGAGTAGGATCCATTTTTTCATTGTCCACTAAAACATAGTAATATTTTATCCTTCATGACCTGAAGTCCTATTCTTGACAGAATTGATTAGATGCTCTCACGTAGGAAACCAGGCTTTTGTATGAAAGTAATGTATCATTTGCTTATTTTAATATTAGTACCAAGGAGAAAACCAAAAAGGTCCATTAACAAATATAGCTATATAGCATATGCAATAATAATAAATTCAGATGGTATAGAAAGGGATAAAACAAGAAGTGAAAGCCTTTTTTCTTATTTCCAGAAGTTTTTCTCTCCAAAGGTTCTTGTGGTTGTTTCTAGAAAAACTATTTCATGGCCAGGCACAGTCGTTCATGGCTGCAATCCTAGCATTTGGGGAGGCCCAGGTGGGTGGATTGCTTGATCTCAGGAGTTGAGACCAGCCTGAGCAACATGGCAAAACCCCATCTCTATAAAAATCAAAAGAAATTAAAAAGTAAAAAAAGTAAAAAGATTTTATGCCTATTCCTTCATACCTATTTATATTTTCTTTATTTTTAAATGTACACAGTAAGGATTCTACAGTACACACTTGGACACCGCATGCAGGCCACATCTTAGAGAGCTTTAGGTACATGACCATGAGCCACATTTAAAATAAAATGACACATTCTCAGTTAATAGGGTTGCTCCTTTGAAAAAAAAAAATAAATAAATAAAAATGCCCTGTACTCGGTGTTTCTCCTTTTGAATGTATGGGTACTTTGTTTCTTTTTGATTATTACAAATGTTGCAACAAATGAGAAAAAGGTACTTTTAATAAGATAAATAATGTTTTATTTTTATAAAATGGGAGGGGAAGGAGAAAGTGGGGAGGGCCCTGAAAAGTCTTTCTGTACCTTCTTTGTAAGTCTGGTATTACAGATTAATGGGTATTCCCTTTCCTAAAGGGAATTTGATTGTGCATATAGGGCTAATAACAAGGAAAGGAAGCATTTGTAAGCAGTCCTATAAGGACATTTTGGTGATAAAGTATTTATCAATAGATCTAATAACATGTCCAGAAGTCATAAAAACTTATGGCCATAATAGTTTGAGTGCCCTCCCCCCTTTTTCTTTAACATTCTTGAATCCTGTTAGTTCTGAACATTAAATTATTGAGGACTTTATAAATCAAAACTAAGCTGGGCATGGTGGCCCACACCTGTAATCCTAACAGTTAGGAAGGCTGAGGTGGGCAGATTGCCTGAACTCAGGAGTTTGAGACCAGCCTAGACAACAGGGTGAAAAAAAAAAAAGCTGGATGTGGTGGCATACGCCTGCAATCCCAGCTACTCAGGAGACTGAGGCAGGAAAATTGCTTGAATCTGGGAGGCAGAGGTTGCACTGAGCTGAGATTGCACCACTGCACTCCAGCCTGGGCAAAACTCTATCTCCAAAAATAAAAATAAATCAAAACTAAGAAGTAAAAATAAAATTAGATAAACATGTAAGTAATAGTCATTTAAACTTTGATGGGGACTGGGAGATTTTTATTCAGTGGTAATAGCGTGGATTTAAAAAAATCTTTTTAAGAGTCTACTTTTTGGTAAATGAAGGAAAATTCTGAGCATAGTTTTTGCTGACTTGGAACTTTTCCAAAACATAGATTTCTTTGAACATAATTAAAGTCATTTTTTAACTTAACTTCCTTGGGTATTTGAGAAACATCAAATAGCAAGCAACATTTGCTAGTCATGAGACTAGAAATCTGTCTGACATTTTCCTCAGAAAAGCAGAGAGGATCTATATTACAAGTATTTCATCATAAAGTGTGTGCCACTATAATTTTAAATAAATGAGGAAAAGATGCTTAGTGTATCTTTTTTATACAGGATAAAGTGGCATTATTTAGCATTCTATTAATAACTGGGTTCCAGTTACATAGATTTGTTCAATTTGTAGAAAATTCATTGAACTTACAATTTATTTTTGTGTATATGTCATATGTCAAAATTTACATGAAAAATAATGTATAAATATTACAATAAGTGGAAATAAAAACTACACATTCTTGTTTTGCATGTTCCAGAATGTCATTGTTTTTATTTCTTCAGTATTAATTTACATTAATTACCTGATTTGATTGGGCAACTTTTATAGTTGTGAACATTGTTCACTTACAACCTGTTTTCTCTTAATATGTGAAAATGTCTACATGGCTTTCAGAATTTAATCTCAGAATTTAACCATAAATTATTTTATATTGACCAGTTTTATTTTACAGTATATAACCAAAGTTTGAGAGCACACATTTGAAGATTTCGGAAGTATTTGATTGTAACTTTTGATCCACAGCCCTTACTACTATTCCTGAAATTATTTATTTTTGAAATAACGGAAGCTGTGAGAGTTTTCATGTTAATTTTGTAGCTTATAAAAGCCTGTTCTTTTCAAATATCTGTTTTCTCTGAAATCCAAGCAGCATGAATCAACTTTTTAAGATTGACAGCACCAAGATTTTCAAATCATTACTTTGTTTCCCCAAACTCCCTTATCTGTGAAGCAGTTGTATGAATAGAATGTTCTTAAACAAGCATCAGCTTTTGTGATGCTATTTGTCTTCCTAACTATTGTCTAATTAAGTCAGAAAATACCTAGCCCTCCCCAACCCTCTAAACTTAAGACCTATTAAAGTGAAAGCACAACTGCTTGAGGGAGATTTTACGTTGTGTGAATCCATTTGCTCAAATATTTTGGTGAAATCCAGGGCTATCTAAGTGTGGCAGAAATAGTATATTTTGGTTTGAGATATAATTTCACTTTGGAAGATACTCACATAATACTTCTGAGCTATACTTATTTAGCATTTATCTAGAAGAATAAGAAGAAAAACCTTGACCAGTTTATGAGCTTGTGTAGTGATTTCTTAAAAGAGCTATACCTTCTCACTCAAAAACCTATCCTAGGCTGGGTGCAGTGGCTCATGCCTGTAATCCCAGGACTTTGGGAGGCTGACATGGGCAGATCACTTGAGATCAGGAGTTCGAGACCAGTCTGGCCAACATGGTGAAACCCTGTCATTGCCAAAAAAAAAAAAAAAAAAAATGAGCTTGGCATGGTGGCACTCCCCTGTGGTTCCAGCTACTCGGGAGGCTGAGGCATGAGAATCGCTTGAACTGGGGAGGCAGAGGCCACAGTGAGCCCAGATCGCACCACTTCAGCTTGGGCAACAGAGCTAGACTCTGTCTCCAAAAAGAAAAATCCTATCCCAGTTTACTGTTGCAGTCTCATCCCCAGCAAGTCCCCACTTGTTCTACATGCTTCTGTTCTGGCCACCTTTCCCTGAATGCTACAACACCCCCTGCCTGTAACGCTGCTGGGCCTGGAATGCCCTTCCTTTGTTTTTCCTTTAAGGGCTACCTCAAATTCCCTACCCCCACCCCCAACTTTTTCATCAGAGCCAGTTCTTCCTCCTCTATTTCTGTTGCACCTACTGCATAACTAGTATAACAATAGGCATGCTACACTGTTGTTTGCTTCTGTGGCCTGCTGGCATTAAAAGCTGCTGGTTCCTGGAGGTCAGGGTCATTCACTATTTACTATTTATCCACAAGATCAGGCATTCAAGAAATGTTTGTTGAATAGAATTGAGTTGTTTGGATAGGCTGGGCTTATAAGTGCCAATTTGTTTCAGGGAAGACATTTTCTCAAAGGTTTTCTGATTTAAAATTTATACTGTCGTTTCCTGAGTATTCTAGTGGATTATTAATTACCTTTACTTAGCCCCTTGACTACAACCTACATGGCAATAACAATACCAAATCTTTTACTTTTCCAACATTTAGGACTTGGTAGAAGACTTGATTAGGGATAGGAAACTGTTGGCTAAAATGAAGTTGATGAATTGCTTAAAGATTTCATTTGTTACAATTTTTTTTATAAGGGATTAACTGAGGAATACCGTGAAATTGGTATTTCTCTTCTGGCGGTAAAAAAAAGTCATGAATTAAATATTGGTATATCTACTAAATTGCTAGTTAGCAGCGAATTCTAAGGGAAAACGTTATTAATATGGTAATAATTGGTTTTGATCTTGTTGTATACTTCCTTAATTTCATAATAGTTTGAACCTTGGATAACAATTATAGCAAAAAGTTTCCCCTGAAATAAGTAAGATTCAATGAAGTTTTACAGTGTCCTTGAAGAAATTTTAAAAATGCACAAAATTGGCCTCTTTCCATTGAATTCTTGTTTTTGAGACATGTACCAGGAAATGAAGAATATAGTCACAGTTTTTTATTTTCAAAAGCTGGTAGATGAAATCACAGTTGATTTTTTTGACAATGTTTGAAAGGTTTTGTTTTTTTGTTTTTGTTTTTTTCTCATTTGACATGCAGCAAGGACATATGGGCGAAGGAGAGGTAACATTATTGTTTCTAACTTTTAAATGTATCACTTGTATTTGGAGAGGACCCAAGCTTGTTTAATTTCTAACCTTTGTGGGGAAGGGGAGAGGGAAAATGAAGCACAGCTTTGATCCTTACATACTTTTTGTGTTACAATTAACATTTTAGACATCATTTGAAGGAGTTAAGGAGCTCTAAGGAAATTTATCAGAATGATAGGATTTGAATCAAAACGATTTCCCTGTGTTATATTAGAAACTCAATTTATTTAAATCTAAAGATTTGCTTTTTTTTCTGAAAGGAATTTCTTAGAAAAAAATTAAGAATCTTTAAAAAGGAAAATATAGTCATACCAGTCTCAAAATACCTCATTATCTTGGAGGTTTAATTATACTTAAATGCCTTATGTCTACGTTTTTTTCTTTTTTACTAAGTAAACAATATATGTGGTTTAAAATGAGATGAGCTAAATAAATGACTAATCCTGTAAATTTCAAACATTGGGCGGAAAAGCTCTAGAAATGTTAGGGAATTCTAAATAATCATTTCCTAGAGGTGCCTCAATAAAACTTATTATTGGCACCTATAATTTGCCTTTTTACAAGAAAGTAAGACAGTTAAATAACTTAGATTTAAAGGATAAGTGATTTTTTAAGATCATTCACGAAATAACCTCCAGTTTTATAATGTTTTTGTCTTCACTTGACATATGCTATTATAGGATAAATTTGTAACAAATATACTGTTATTATTTGTGTTTAGTGATGGAAATTGAAGACAAGTATGGCAAAACCTGGAATGTTTCTATTAAAGTAAGAGCACTTGAGATACATTTCTAGAGGATCCATTAACAAATTCCTCATGTAGTACCTAGAATTAAATTGGCAGCCAGAAAAGTGCTAAAAGAGCGCTTGGGAGATTCTGTAGCTATTTGTAGCTCTGTGTTTTCCTTATGATTTAAAAGTTTGTATTTTGCTGTCAGGTAAATATGGAAAGACTGTTACACATATTGGCATCTCTGGTGTTTCCTGCATATATATTCTGGATGATAAGATTTTCAAACAGCAAATTTAATGACTAGTTTTTAGAAATTGATAATACCCTTAGCAAGCTGATAATTACCCAGCTAATAATAAATATATCTTTAACATGCCTAATAATCTTAAATTCCATAAGACTACACAGTGAAATTGGAATATAACATTAAGTAGGTTTTGATTTTATCCCATTAGTTAAGGTAAACAAAAATGAGTGGTCACTTTAAAAATCTACTTGTTAAGTTAGCCAGGTGTCATGGCACATGCCTGTAACCCCAGCTACTTCGGAGGCTGAGGTGGAAGGATCACTTTAGCACAAGAGTTTGAGGCTGTAGTGAGCTATGATTATGCCACTGTACTCCAGCCTGGGTAAAAGAGCTAGACACTGTCTCAAAAAAAAAAAAAAAAAAAATCTACTTGTTCATTTTAAACACATTCATAGAGGAAATTGTGCAGGCTATATTGTTTGATCTTTTAAAGAAATGTCAGTGATTCAATGTCTTATAGCCAAATTTAATACTTAGTGTCCATGTCTAGGTTGCCAGTGGCCATGGGGCCCTGCCAAGGGAGTACAGTTCGCTGCCGACTGCTTGCTAAAGCGTGCTCTCCCCTCCTGTACTTCAGTTCACCTCACTGAAGTTTCTGGATCCCAGTGGAATACTGGAGTAGCCCTCGATTAATATTTAACCATGTGCTTTCTCTCTGACTCAGTTGGGACTTTTAAGTTGGTTGGGAATTCAAGAGTATATAGCTAAGTGATTCTATTACTCAGTGAGAAAAATAAAAGCAGCAGTTTTATTGAATCTGCTGTTTCCTTGTTTCTCATGCATGATAGTGGCTAGGAACATTTTCTGTTACTGTTTTTTCCCTGCTTTCTATTCCAGGTCAGTCTTCACTGTTTCCAATGGAAGATGGATTCTTGGATGATGGCCGTGGGGATCAACCTCTTCATAGTGGCCTGGGTTCACCTCACTGCTTCACTCACCAGAATGGAGAAAGAGTGGAACGATATTCTCGAAAGGTGTTTGTGGGCGGATTGCCTCCAGACATTGATGAAGGTATACTTGGAAATAACTGTTTATAGCAGGGTACCCAGATGGTGGCACACAGTAGGAAACTCATGGATAGTGGTTGTTGTTGTTACAATAACAGTCTCATCTGGCCCCAGTAGTCAGCCCTGATTGTACTGTTCTCTTGTCCTACCCTCCTATCATGGCATATAAGATTAATTTATAGAAGGGAGGAGAGCAGAGTTGTGCAAACCAACTAAAGCAAGGGATTGGACTGCATGAAAAGGAGTAAACATCACTGGGAAAACGTCCAAGGGATTCAGTTGTTGTGGGGATACATGGGTACTAACTGCCTTTTTGTCTGCATATGCTACTTTGGACAAATTCAGTGATGTATTTTTCTTCTTTTTTCCCCCATATTTTATGAGTGCTCCACGAATATATAGTTTATTGTTTAAAATCTTAGACTAAGCATGAACTTTTGAAAAATATAGCCTACAGTTGTACTACAAGAAAGATAATCTTATTTAAGGTAGTAAACAGGATGGAAGATCCCTGCTTACATAGAGTTTACATTTTATTGAGGGAAGGCCCATAATGTATAAATATGCAAGAAAATACTAGAGAGCAAGTGTTTAAAAGCAAAGAGCAGGATGATGTAATATAGTGATGCAGGAGTTTTTTTAAATTAGGTGGATAAGAAAAGCCTCTTTGAGGAAGTGATATTTAAGCCGAGACCTGAATAAAGAGCCAGCCATGCAAAGGTTTAGAGGGACTTGTTCAGGAATATGCTGTTCCTCCATGGGTCTCAGTGACCCTAATAAAAATCACAGTAGCAAACCTTACAGCAATCACCTATCCTTGGTCACTTTCCTCATTTCTTTTGTCTCAGTTTCCTGAATGAAAATGGAAATACACTAAATCATATTATGGAGAAGAAAATAGATTTCTTTCTTTCTTTTTTGAGATGGAGTCTTTCTCTGTTGCCCAGGCTGGAGTGCAGTGGTGCGATCTTGACTCACTGCAGCCTCTGCCTCCTGGGTTCAAGCAGTTTTCCTGCCTCAGCCTCCCAAGTAGTTGGGACTACAGGCGCACGCTGCCTGGCTAATTTTTGTATTTTTAGTAGAGAGGGGGTTTCCCCATGTTGGCCAGGATGGTCTTGATCTCCTCACCTTGTGATCCACCTGCCTTTGCCTCCGAAAGTGTGGGATTACAGGTATGAAGAACAGATTTCTGTGCACATGTCTAAGATCTAATAATAAGGTTTAATATCTTCACAGTTAGACTGGGATCACACTTATCAAGTCACTTCATTTTCTTTAAGAGTATTTATCTTTTGGAAGGTTGAGACAGAAATGGTTCTAAATGTCTTGGTGGAAGCTATGCTGAAATTTCAGGGTTGTCTGAATCAATCTCCATCCTGCCCTCAGCATAGCTTAAAGAATATTGTGTTCTGCAGAATTGTGCACTAAAAATTACAGGGTTTATGGGGGAAAATAAGGTTAAAGATAAATCATTTAAAACCTAATGAACTTTGTACCTGAAACACTAACAAGAAGAGAATTAGTACCTTGGAGATAACTTGGACATTTCAGGCAAGTAGCTCAGCACACTTGGGGCTGCTTCAGGGAATATTGAAAATGTGCAAAACCAATAATGCAGAAATGTTGGCTTGCAAGCGTGGAGACAATGCAGATGGAAACAGATCTTTGAACACCCGAGGAAGCACAAACTAAACTGTTGGGAAAGAAGAGCCCTGGAAGGTTAGGGGCATATCTCTCTGACAAGGAAATTCTTGTTGCTGTGCTTATTTTTAATTTTCTTATAATAGAGCTGGGAGAGTTTGTACCTGTACATCAGAGAAGTGGGGGAGTTTTTCCTTTTCTGATGAAGTTTATAATTCTTTCCTCACTATGCTAGCTCACCTTGCCTAGGAAAAATCATTTATGAACCAGTACAATTCCATGTTTTACTGACATTGCTCCCTGTTGATTAGACTCACACAAACTAAACTTACTGTAGAAACAGGTGTCATAGCAGAGGAGACTAGACTATTTCACAGTATGGGGGAGATGAAAACAGCTCTAACAGACTGGAATTTAGACATACTCCTTATCTTTCTTTTCTGTTCTTTTACCCTGCCCTATTATCAGTTCTTACCTACACCTGCTTACCTGCCCTTTCTAGAAGTCTCTTTGAAATTTATTGTTTTATAATCTCATTAGTGTCCAAATATATAATGTAGCATAATTTGTGTCATTTAATAGCAAAATATGGTCAGGTCTTCCTTGTCTATCATTTTTTCCCACTCATCCCTTTTTCCCCCTCCCTTCCTCCAAGGCTGAGATAATGCTGTCAAGGAAGTGGATTGGTGACAGGGGAGAGGTCTCACGTAGAGGGGATGTGTATGCATGTGTGTGGAAGGGTTTGCTCAGAGGCCTGAGCAGCAGCACAAATGGTATCCGAGAAATCAGGGCGACAAGAGCCAAGGCACAAAGGTGGAAGGTAGAGGAGGCTAGTAGGGTAGAGACAAGACTGGTTACATTGAGCAAATTAGTGCATATTGTACAGGTATTGGGAGCTAGGTGTCTTCCTGTGAGAAGAGAATATAAAGATAGAAAGAGGGAAGGCTAGAAAAAGCCATGAGATGTTGGAGTCACATTGAAAATATCAGTATGAACTTACTAGTTTTTATCAGCACATACACAGATACAGAAATAGTTATAAATGTGTGTTTGTGTGCATATTTATTTCCTAGCTTCATCTACTGCAAAGACTTAGAAATAATGAATATTCACTAGCAGTGAGCATATAGAGCACCTGCATCTTAGTTTCTAAATATCTTTTGCTGCTAAAGGGATCAATACATCTTGGGGAAAAAAAAATGGACTGATTCTTAGGCTGATACAGGGAAAGAATAAGACGAGCCTGGAGTATCTTCTTAGGCCAGAAAAGCATTAAAGTGCTTAAAGAATGGTGGCAAGAAGTGTGAAGAACATAGAAGCCACCCACTCCTATGGGACAAGCAGGGACAGATTGTCCCTGACAATTTGATAATTAGAGCCAAATCAGGGACAATTTTTGGGACATATTGAGCATCAAGATAAAGGAGTGAATTGGATCACAACCCATTGAATAAAATAGACGATACCGATAAAATAAATAAATAAATCAGTGGGACAGAAGGAAAGCTCCCTTACTGCACAATACTAATATATGTAGAAGGAATTATGGAAACAGTTAATCATTATTTGGCAACCATTATTGTGGTAGTTAATACAGGCAGGAGTCTTCAATGGATGCCAAGGCTCATGAAGGAACAGGATATTGGTGAGCAACAAAATATACTCTTGTAAAACTGAGTATTACAAGATCTTCTCCCTTTGTAATCAATTATAATTGATTACAAAGGGAGAAGTTTTCTTGCGGTAGAGAAACCAGGCCAAGATTGACATGCCCTCCAGGTGTGGTAGTATGCACCTATAATCCCAGCTACTTGGAAAGTTGCAGGAGGATCACTTAAGTTCAGGACCAGCCAGGGCAACATAATGGGCCCTTATCTCGGGAGGAAAAGGTTAACATGCTTATGGTAGGGCAGGATGGCATTGCACCATTATGGTGATATTCCAGTTTGGAATGCGTAGCATGATTCTAGTCATAGGAAGCAGAGCACAGACCCAGGTTGAGGGTCTTTGTCTTTAATCTGTTCAGATTGCTATAAAAAATAACAGACTTGGTGGCTTATAAACAACTGAAATTTGTTTCTCACCTTTATGGAGGCTGGGAAGTTCAAGATCAAGGCGCCAACAAATTCAGTGTCTGCTGAGGGCCTGCTTCCTAGTAGATAATAGTCTTCTCATTGCATCCTCACATGGCAGAAGGGGTGAAGGGTCTCTCCAGAACCTCTTTCCCCATGGAACCACTAATCCCCATGGAAGGATTCCAACCCTGTGACCTAATCACCTACCAAGGGCCCCAGCTCCAAATACCCTCACATTGGGGAACAGATTTCAACATACGAATTTTGAGAGAATATAAATATTCAGACCATAGCAGCCATTCTATAGAATGAATATGAAAGACAAGAAAGAACATGGAGCTGTTCCAAATTGAAAAAAGACTGATGCTCTAAGGATATGATAATTAAATGCAACCTGTTTTCTGGATAGCACTGTGGATCAGAAAGGATTTTGAAATTTAAATGAAGTCTGTGAATTGCATAGTAGTGTTATATCAAAATTGGTATATAAGGGAGTGATCTTGCTTTGAGCAGATAACAATAGTTATGTTTGGGATTACAGGGCACCATTTCAGAAGAATATGCTGGCTGGCTGGCTTGGCTGGATGGCTAGATTGATTTATGCGTATATACAGATAGAGGGAGAAAGAAGAAAGAGGTTGAAGGCAGATGTGCAAATTATTAGCAGTTGGGGAATCTAGATGAAGGGGATTAAGGAGTTCTTTTTACTGTTGTTGTAAATAGTAGATTTAAAATTAAAAAAAAACTTTCAAAAAATGATCATAAATACATATTAAATCTACTTTTTTCTTTTGTTTATTAGATGAGATCACAGCTAGTTTTCGTCGCTTTGGCCCTTTGATTGTGGATTGGCCTCATAAAGCCGAGAGCAAATCCTATTTTCCTCCTAAAGGTAATTCCCAAGATTCATTATACTTATATAATTTATTCTTACATTGTTTAATGTATAGCCTTTTCATAAATGTTCGCCTTCACTGTAAAATTTTTTATTGTTGAACTTGCATTTTCCCAAATGCTCTTTAAAATTTCAGTATACTTTTAAGTCAAATTTAATTTTACTCTGAAAGATGTTTCAAGATACTACCAAAATGAACTGTGTGTTGATGTTATCAGACTTTTGGTATAAATATTGTTTTAATATTTTTTCCTATTCCTTTTTCCTTTCTTTAGTTTTAGTGCATGATTCCCTTCACCTGAAGAATTACCCAAAAATAGGAAAACATGTAAGCCTTCTTTTGCCCCCCTTTTTTTTTTTCAGGCTATGCATTCCTGCTATTTCAAGATGAAAGCTCTGTGCAGGCTCTCATTGATGCATGCATTGAAGAAGATGGAAAACTCTACCTTTGTGTATCAAGTCCCACTATCAAGGATAAGCCAGTAAGTGTAGTTTATCATAAAATATCTTCTTGTTTTAGCCTCCGTTCATCTGTTCTGTTTGAAAAACCCATAGACAACTTGATGTGTTTGGGGTACTTAATTGACACGTTTGTAAGCAGACTAAATTTAAAAAGTCTTGTTGTAAGGTTACTAACATTGGCTTTTTATGTATTTGCACTTATCAATTTGACATTGAATTTTTAGTTAGTTGGAAAACAATTGGTAAATCTTTACTTTTAAAAGATTTCATGGCTGGGCACCATGGCTCATGCTTGTAATCCCAGCATTTTGGGAGGCCGAAAGTGGGTGGATCACATGAGGCCAGGAGTTCGAGACCAGCCTGACCAACATGGTGAAATCCCGTCTCTACTGAAAATAAAAAATTAGCCAGGTGTGGTGGCACACACCTGTAGTCCCAGTTACTTGGGAAGCTGAGGCACGACCATCACCTGAACCCAGGAGGTGGAGGTTGCAGTGAGCAGCGATCCCGCCACTGTACTCCAGCCTGGGTAAAGTGTAAGACTCTGTCTCAAAAACAAAACAAAACAAAAAAAACACACCAGACTTCACTTGATAATGCATTTAATAAAATAGTTGAATTGCCTCTGAATAATAGACCTCAAATCACAAATGTTATATATATATCTTCCTAGCTCTTTCTTCACTTTAATAAAGATTTTACCCAATATTATCCTTAACTTTATATATGGTACTCTCCAAAGTAGAGTTGTGCATATACATGTACAGGTACATTGCATACTGTTTTTTCTTTTTGGAAAAGTTTATCATAAAATTTAGTCTTAAGGAAGAGGAGCAACTGGCATGTTTAGATGAGTTTGGCAAAGCAGCAATTTATTATCACTCAGCCAGCACCCAGTGAATGTTGGGGTAGTAGAGAATGGAGTTGTCAGTGGACCCAGCTTAAGCAAATAATATCTGTGGAGCTTCTCTTGATGTCTTGTGGTTGTCTAGGTCAGAAGCTTTGTAAGAGTTCCTGTGCTCTGGACTCTTTCTGCTTGACTTGTGTTCTCTGCCAATCCCATCTGTATTTGAATTTGGGACCTCTGACCTAGGACTCTGTCGGTGTGCATATTTGGGAATCCACTGCTGTCAACCCATAGCCTTTGGCGTGGGCATTTGTGACAATTAGAAAACGTGAATAGTTTTAAATGAGATACATGATTCTTCATTGACTGAGCTAATAGATACACTGAAGTATTTGTCATTAAAAAGAATGTTGCAAATATCATCAATATTTTTACTTTGAAAACTATTTTGAAATAATGCATTAGATTTGATGGTATCAGGAGTAGTTTGCATTTCCTGAACATACACTGACTGCACATACAATTCTAGTTTACTTAGCATTGGCTACCATGCTAAAAATTTATTGATTGGCATTGGATACCAATGCTAAAAATTTAAATTATGTCGATATTGGGGAATTGGACAGACTAAAGGCCCAAATAAGCTGAAAAACAGCAAATTAACTTACAAATAATTAGGGACATGTTAAGTAATTTGGCTTATAATAGAGAATCAAAGTGAACTTTTCACCTTGGTTTAGTTTACTCTAAAAACGATGGGTTAGGATACATTATTTTTAAATCTTCTAGTTTCCCAGCTTTATTGACTTATAATGATAGGATAATTGCTTTTAAAATTAAAATACTTTGTAATAATTTTTAACGTTTCCCCCCATAAGGTATCTGTATTGAAAATGAGACATTTTGGTTTGTACATTCCTTAGGTCCAGATTCGGCCTTGGAATCTCAGTGACAGTGACTTTGTGATGGATGGTTCACAGCCACTTGACCCACGAAAAACCATATTTGTTGGTGGTGTTCCTCGACCATTACGAGCTGGTATGATTAAACAAACAACAAACCCTCTATTTTATAGCACAAGAAATATCAAGATCTTCAGGATAAATTTTTCATAAGAATTTGAGTTAACATCCAAGAGTAAGAATTCTAGAATCAAAGTGTCTGAGTTTGAATTCATGTGTTCTAATAGGTGAGTGACCTTGGACAAAATCCATGATTTTTCTAATTCTCAGTTTCCCCATCTGTCAAGTAGGGGTGAAAGGTGTGTGTATTTCTAGGGCTATCTTGAGGGTTGAATGAGATGACCAGTGCAAAGTACTTAGTCTAGTGCTGCATAATGCTGATTGTTCTCATCATTTTCTGAAAAGAAAAAAAGACGTTCAAGAATAGATTACGGATTGAGATGGTCAGTATTTGTTTCCTACATTCTCATTTGCTCAACAGCCATTAACTGAGCCCTGGAATATAATAGACTTCTATGCAGTGCATCATATTTTGAGAGTAGTACTTCCAGAACAAATTAAATTCCTAACTTCAAGTAATTTGAGGTTTAGTAGTATAAATGAGATAAAAAGCATAACATGAACAGGAATGTAGCTTCACAATTATAACACTTCATAGAGAAGATGCAGTCATTTCACGGTTTTTTTTTTTTTTTTAAATGAAAAATTAGTGAAGAGACTGCGGGGAAAGGGTTTTGGTGGGAATAAGCCAGGAGGGCCCCCAAAGAGTCTACCAGTTAGTCTTCTAATGTTCAAGTAATTATTCTATTAATCAATACATCATTAACTGGTATATATATGGCAGCAACATGGCAGAGAGTGACAAACGTGGGAGCCAAGCCCAGCACTATCACTGAATGACCTGTGACCTTGGACAGATTGATTGCCCTTTCTGTGCTTCAGTTTCCTTGGGAAATTACTGTCTACTTCATGGAGTTGGGAGAAGAATAAAGAGAACATATTAGAAAACATCTAGCAACCCCTTGCCCAAAGTTAAAAGATTAAAGCTTAACACAATAGATGACTGGTTGTAATAATAAGCGTCATTTTAATAATTACTTTAGTGATGTGAGCTTAGAGTACAGATGAATTGTTTTTGATGAAACCGTTGGTGAGCCAGATGAATTTTCCTGATTTTAAATATCCTGTTTGCTCCTTTCTTAATTAGTGGAGCTTGCAATGATAATGGATCGGCTATATGGAGGTGTGTGCTACGCTGGGATTGATACTGACCCTGAGCTGAAATACCCAAAAGGAGCTGGGAGAGTTGCATTCTCTAATCAACAGAGTTACATAGCTGCTATCAGTGCCCGCTTTGTTCAGCTGCAGCATGGAGAGATAGATAAACGGGTAAGCCTTACACTACACTTTGGAAAATTTTAGAAATGGTCCTCTAAATGTGTGATTAGCAGTATTAGAATGGGAAAGCTTTATGACAATAAAGTGACAGCTGAGCATTTTGCCTATGGAGTTAATTATGGTCTATAATACATAAAAGAATTTCCTATGAATTTCTTTTATCTTTGATTTTTTTGAGTAGCCTAATCAGAACACTATAATCAATTTACTTGAGTTAATTTAATCTTCTCTAAACTATAACTTCCATTCAATCTCAATCCATCCATCCATTCATTCATTTAGTTTGTCAGTAATTCAATAAATATTTACTGAATCCTTCGTACTGTGTTATATCAGGTATATAAACAGGAATGCCCTTGAGATTTCCTGCCTCTTTTTTTGTTTTGTTTTTTAATCCTGGGACATAGCGAATACCTTGTAAGCCCTATTTCTCAATGAATTGCACTCACAGATTTCTTTTCTTTTTTTTTCTTCTTTTTCCACAGCCGACGCCTCTCACCAATTTATTTCTTAGCTTGGTGTTTCATTCATTCAACAAACATTTTAAAGCTTAGGACAAGAAGTTCCTGTTCTCATGAGTTTATTTCCTAGCAGATAGAACTGTATAATTTGCCAGAACTACTCAAAGTGTGGCCTGTGGACTGACTGCCAGTCTGCAAACTTAGTTTGTAGTGAGATAGGAATTTAGACCAGACTGTGTAATCGGCTACATTGCTGGGCACAATGTTTGGTCCAGCTGGACCAGCTGGCAGTTTTTTTTTTTTTTCATAGAAAGGCTTTATTGATGAGGGAAGCAACATGTTGATTTATATTCTGGTATCACCTTTTTATTTCATGGCACACTGGCACTTGCATTAGCGCTGACTTTGATATCCAACACTCTGAGGTATTGTGCTAAAATAGATTGATTTTACTGTGTTGTTCTCAATTCAAGATGTAAAAATGATCAAGTCAGTAGTGGTTTCTGCTTTTTATGTTTCATGTCATGTATAGTCTACTTCATTGTCAGTAAAAACATTTAAGATAGTAGTGATCATCCTACAGCTGACTATATTAAAGAGAACGGCACCTATTCTATTCCAAGTGTGGGGGAGGGACAAGATTAGTATGTTAACATGCCTACTTGTTTGTTTGTTTTTGTTTGTTTGTTTTTTAGATGGAGTATATTGCTCTGTCACCAGGCTGGAGTGCAGTGGCATGATCTTGGCTCACTATAACCTCCGTGTCCTGGGTTCAAGTGATTCTCCTGCCTTTGCCTCCCGAGTAGCTGGGATTACAGGCGTGTGCCACCATGCCCAGCAGATTTTTGTATTTTTAGTAGAGACCGGGTTTCACCATGTTGGTCAGGCTGGTTTTGAGCTCCTAACCTGAAGGGATCCACCTGCCTCGGCCTCCCGAAGTGCTGGAACTACACACTTGAGCCACCCACCACAGGTGGCCTATTTGGTTTTTCATGCACACTAAAAAATATCTACGTATCACTGCCTCATTCTAACATAAGTTTCAGAGCTGTGGGGTTGGTCATTAGAAATTCAGGCTTAATTTGTATTCCTCTGCAATGAAATCCTTTGCCCAGTGTTTTTGCCACTCTGTAGACATTGTGGAGCAGCCTAGAGGCCAAAAGCCTGGTGCTGTCCTCATGCCTACTCTTCCTGGACTTCCTTGGCAGTCTTCTCTTTTTGTACTTTTATTTTTTTAGTTAAAACCTTATTTTTAGATGCAGGGTCTCATTCTGTCACCCAGGCTGGAGCACAGCGGCACAATCATGACTCACTGCATGTTCTCCTTTTGTTCATGGCTAACCTTGGTCGGGATTTCTTGTCAGAGCTGGATGGCACCATTGGTGGTGACAGCCTGCTGTAACGGAGTTTCAGCCATGAGTCTCTCCAAACTAAAAATAACCAGCTCTTTTCTAGCTGATGAATTAATAACCAAGTGACTGTTAATGCTTGAAACATTCACATGACAGGTTGGCCGATAGAACACTGAAACAGGCCCAGTTTTAGAAATTCACCTTTGACTTTTAGACTCAGGTGAACCATTCTTAACTGAGAAAGAACAAAGCAGGGTTTTAAATTGTGAATCCTGTAGCTGCATCTTTTTTTTTTTTTTTAAACAGAGTTCTAGGTTTGTGATTATAACCCAAGATGTGTACACTATAAATAGAAACCACGAGCCAGGCTTTACGACAGCTCAGAATCTCGTGACACAGAAGTCAGGCATCTTCCCACTGACTTGAATATTGAAGTGCAGTTGTGTGGAACTTGGATCCTCTTAGCTGATTTTGTTTAAATTATGATTCCACATATGACAAAAATCCAGATCCACTAATTAAAATGAGGTTTTGTGTCTATGAAAAATCTCCTGTGGGTTTAATCTCATAATGTTTTAGTCTAAACTGTTGGCTTCACTTCATGATGTCTACTGAAATCCCTTTTCCTTTGAAGATTGTTTATTTAATAGGAAAAAAAAAAGTAAAATGATAGATAATTAAAACCTTCCTAGGTTCTTAAAAGATGAACTAACCATATTTCAGTAAATGAATAATTGTTCCTTCCACATTGGGCACCTTGGAACAGATTCCTTCAGATAGTAGATGGAAAGGTACATGCATGGTAAGTGTTGCTGGCCTACTCACTGAAAAATATAAAATCTTCTTTTATTTTTGATTGCAGGTGGAAGTTAAGCCATATGTCTTGGATGATCAGCTGTGTGATGAATGTCAGGGGGCCCGTTGTGGGGGAAAATTTGCTCCATTTTTCTGTGCTAATGTTACCTGTCTGCAGTATTACTGTGAATATTGCTGGGCTGCTATTCATTCTCGAGCTGGCAGGGAATTCCACAAGCCCCTGGTGAAGGAAGGCGGTGACCGCCCTCGGCATATTTCATTCCGCTGGAACTAAAGGATAACTGCAGTGCTCATTTTCAGGCCTCAGAATAAGTGCACTCTTCTGTTAATTCTGACCCCTTCCTCAACCTCTTCACGCTGGCATGTCCTTTTGTAGCAGTCTGCAACTTAACTATAGTATAATGAAAAGAATGACCTATAATATAGGTGTTTTGTAGATTCTTGTGTCACTGCAAACAATATGAACTCCTTTTTCGTATTGCCATCGGGTTACATGGAAGTTTTATTCTCTTGTTTTGCTGGAGACCAAGAGGATCTAAACTTCCTGCAACATTTTCTTAGAGGAGAGAGAGAAATATTAAAAAAGAAATAAAACAATAGAGTATTTTGGGTTTTTAATTAAATTATTGTTAATAATATAACATATAAGAATACTTTTATTAAAATAACCATGCAACAATAACACTATCCGTCTATCTGACAGTTTTTCCCCCAGGGAAGTGCTTTTGCCTTTTCCTTTCTTTTCTTTCTTTTTTTTTTTTTTTAAATCTTTTTTTTTTTGGTGGGGACAATCGGTAGAGCCTTGTATTTCTCTTACTTATTCTTTTGCAGAACAAACTACTTAATTTTTTTTTAATCTTTTTTGTCTCTCTCTTTTTTTCCATTCCCTTTTAATATTTTTTAACAGCAATGGAGGAAGTTAATTTTTAACGGAAAGAACATGTTAAAACAAATGCATAAGCAAGACTGAGCAGCATTATAATTAATTTTCAGGGTTTTGAGGCTGAACATAATTTCATTATCCCTCAAAAAGTTACCACCACATCAGAAAAAAAAAAAAATTAGTAAAGTAGGCAGAGCTAGGTTTATTTTCTCTTAAAACAATTTTTAAAATTCAGAATGTAAAAATTGGGTAAATTTACTATTGAGGGGAGTGCACTTATTTAACTTACTTATCTGGTCAAAGCCCCAGGAAACCTACCAAAGCTAGAATTAATGACAACTGGTGGGAAACCTAGCATTTCCTCTCCTGAAGAACAAATGTATAAATTTTATTTTTGATGTTTATATATAAACTCTATATCCTAATTTACTAACACTCATCAGGTGTCAGCCTTTGCTCTCCATTTTGACGTTAAAAAACAACAGATCTAGAGATACCTCAAGGATATCATTTTTGATTTTGTGTTACAGTACACTTGTAGCCAAAACTGGAAGACAAAACCAATATATAATTTGGCTGCTGATTGGCTTACTTTTAGATTTAAAGTTTCTTTGGGTATCCTGTAATTTAGTTGTAACATAGAAAATGAAAAAAAAAGTTAAAAAAAGTTAAGTAGTTGCAAAGTGTTTTGCACTGTTGAACTAAGTAACTGTGTAAATCTGTGCAAAGGTACGTATGTTTATCTTACTCTTCCTATAAACTAAAATAACATTACAGTTTCAGAATTTAGCATGGGACATAGTCAGTGTTTGAAGTGCCAACTTCATCAAGTAATGCATGCTTTATTATAAATAAAACTCTAGCTTTGAAAGGCGTTATTATGTGTTGAACAGTATGCTTCAGGGGTGAATTTAAAATAGTCTCTTGAAGCCCCAGTCATGGAAGTAACTTTTATTTTAATTGAGATTCTCTTATTAAATGCCCTATTCATCAGTAAAAAGAATATTATCAGTGGGCAAAACATGAAATAAAACAATCTAATGGCAATCTTGCTAGTTGTGCTACCTAACAGTACCACCTTGGATCCTTCAAAACCAAAGACTTGCCCCAGCACTGCTGTGGAACCACCTGGCTTATGACCCCTATGGATGATCTTTAGGAAAAGCAGCCCTTTATTTTTAATACAGGCTTTAATGAACTATACCTGTTAAGTTCCAAAGGTCAAAATGGAGGCATTAGCTGTCTAATATTCAAACATAGAAAGGGAGCTGCTTTTAAAGAATTCCCTGCAAATACTGAAAGCAGTCATGCGAATGGAGGGTGCTCTTGTGTAGCTGGTCAGGGACTTTTTTTTCTTTTCTCCTGAACTACATGATTCTAATTGGAATGTTCATTTGCCTCTTTTTACTCTTTTAAATGCTTGTAGGTGGCTTGGGGTGTGCTATTGTGCTGTTCCTACTCAGTAAACAGGTGTGATGAGTTAACAAGAAATAACACTGTTTGAGAACTAGCTTTGAATAATAATTTTTCCCTTTGTACATGACCTGCTGAATTTCGGTACAGTGTTTTTGTAGCTAACTTATTTTGTCATGCACATAATGTATATTTGTTATGCACTACTTTTGTATATCTTGTTTTTCCAACAGTGAACATTTTTAGGCACACTTTTCACTGACGGGATATCTCTTTATGCAATACCTCAATTTTTCATATTGCAAAGAGTAGCTTTTTGTACTTTTATTACTGAGAGATCTTCATATACTTCATTTTTTAATATAAATAATTTTAATAAATTTTATTTTCTTATATTCTGCTTTTTATACATTTCAGTGCTCTGCATACATTTTAAATTATGAATGTCGTGCACTGGCAATGCTATTTTAGAGTCTGCAGAGAAGAGAAAGCATGTTGCTTAAACATCCTTCCCCAGCACCAGCTATTGGTGTACCTATAATTTAAGAAATAGTCTATGTAAAGTCACAAATTAAAGAAAAAAAATTCGCATGAAAATGACAGATAACACTGTAGTTCCTGAAACAAATTAAATGCATAAGCATAGGGTAGAAATTTAAAATAAAATTGTCTACAGCTTCTTACTAAGTTTTTAAAATTATTCATAAAATGCAGACATTTTTGGTGAATGTTTAGCCATTTTTAATATTAATAAATTGATGTTAAGTGTTTGATTCAGAGATGTCTGCTCTTTTAAATTATATATAAGGAAAAAAATAGCCTGCCTTGGGACAGGTGTGTAATGTTAGTATGCATGACTAATGTAAGAAATTGTTATTCTACTAATATTTACTTGTGATTGTGTGACAAGCGTGTTTACAGATTATTTGGTTACACTTCAATTTACAGGGCATAAACAATGATTATCTATTACTCTGAACTTTATTGATTACATGTTCTTCAGAATACATGGGATTGTAGTTGGGAGTTACCATGTAACTCAAACATAATTAACATGTAATTAGTTTACAGATTTTAGGGCATCACTTCAGTTCACCAAGCATGTAGTTCTAGCGCACTAGCATGGCACCAGCCATGTACTTACAATGTAGTTACAGAGTAATTACATGGTTATTTTTGCAATGTAAAATAAAGTGTTTCTGATTATTTTCTATGTAAAGGAACCCTCTCCTTTCCCCTTCTGGTCCCCGCGCTTTGGTATAATATATATACTTCTCCATACACAGACCTCTGCAGAATGCAAAATAAAACTTGCAGTGAATGAATTTAGCATTTTATGAGAGTGCTGTTGGAAAGACTTGATAATTCACCCCTTTTGTTTTGAAGAGTTGAATCTTCTGTTAAAAGGTGATTTAAAACTTGAATGTGATGAATTGTGGCAAGTTAACTTCAAGTTATGTGCAATACTTATTTCAAACTTTTGAAAGATCTTTGCAGTGTAATTCTTTGTTTTTAATTGCAGACATTTAAAAATGTCATTTTCTACTGTTAAGAGTAATCCTCTTTCTTGCTGGTGTTTCTAAAGAAAAGAATCAGAAATCAATCTTTCTACTAATGTAAATTTGAGATTATTTTTAAAAATGGAATAAAAGAGGTTTTGGTCATTTGCTTTATTTTATTATCTTATTTTAAAGCTACTGTGATTGATAGCATTGTAAGAATCGGGACAATATTGTATTCAACTGTTTTATTTTTTATATTTTTAAAATTTAAAGTATAATTAGTTTTTATAATTTCATCAGATTTTTGTTATATTTTTTGGAAGTGAAACTTTTAGCAAGTGGGTGTCTAGTTTTTACTAATCCCTAATTTTTTTTTTCAGTGTATTGCTCATATTATCAGAAGGAAAAGTTATTTAAGTATGTCAGTTAATTGTACTACTTGGCTGAATTTCCATATAGTTTTTACTGTGTATGGGGAGGTTGTAGTATTTATTATAGCATTTTAAATAAGGGTAATTCATTTTTTATTAAAGTCATTTTCACGTTAAGTTCCTATTTTTGTATGTTCTACTCTTAAGTTATATAACACAGTTCCTTTTTTAAAAGAGTTCATTTGTTGAAGTGCTAGTGGAAAATTAATGTTATTAAATAGTTTGCAAATGACTATTTATACCAGTATGCATATAATTTTTAAATATTTGTAATGTGAGATGTTGAATGAATAAAACTTTTAACTCAGATTTCTTTTAATATACTTATTTATTTTCAACACAAGCAGATTATGCTTACTTGATTGGGAATATAACATTTTAAAATATTAGAAATTTACTGTTGAGTTAATGTAGCACAAACCAACATAAAAAAAAATCTTCAGTCATATAAGTACTGTGGCAAGTGTGCATTCTTACGTAAGCCTAAAGTGTCAGTGGGTGGTTGTGTCTTTGGCCTGTGCTGTTTGTTCACCTGCTGCCTGCTCTGCAGAGTTCTTTTTATTTGTAGCCTTCAATATGTATACCAGGTATAAGCCCAGGATCTAAGCATTCAGTCATCAGTTGAAGGCCAAATGTCCAATAAAAGTGAAAGAACCAATGTTTAGTTAATAATGAAAGTCAGTATCTGGGAGGTTCAGTTTTGAGTCTCTTCCAATGAATAGTCTTGATTTGTGGCCAGACTACCAGAGGGCTTGAAAACAAGTCTCTTTTGACTTCCAATTCCCAGTTCCTCCATAGACCTTAATGTCATTGGGTATGACCTGTGGGATTATAATCTCTGTAGCATGTCCATTGAAAATATATCTTTGACCCATTAATCATGTGGACTAAGTACTGTAATGTGTTAGTATTTATATTTTAAACTGCATTCTCAAACTTTTAATATAAGAATTTATTGTAACAAAATATAACACTGAGAATATCCTGTTTTGTCAAATTTGATATCTCTTCTTTCTTGAATATAGTATTCTGAAGGCTAGAAGATGTTCTTGTCCTGAGAGAAATGGACTGTAAGATCTCTTGCTTCTAAGTTGTCTTTCCCAACATGCAGCTTTTCCAACTATAGAGATTCCTGAGGGTAAGGGCAGACTAGAGAGCTTCCCCTTTCTCTTATCTGACAATTCCCAAACCTTATGTTCAGCATTCATTGAAGGGCCTTGAGGAAGCCCCAGGGATGGGACACTGGAGAGGTGGGTGGCATTTGGTTACCACCTCTATAATATTCCTAGGCATTCTGGGATGGTTTCAGTTTTTTTGTTTTGTTTATTGAGACAGAGTCTTGCTTTGTCACCCAGGCTAGAGTGCAGTGGCGTGATTTCGGCTCACTGCCACCTCTGCCTCCCGGGTTCAAGCT